ATGATCTAATATGAGTTGGTGATTACACATACAAGCACTAGTCCTACAAATGGGAAAGGATTACACAAATTCTCAAGTAACAATAATCGTGCATAGAAGAGTTTGTTGCCCCACAGTATGGAGCGATCGTTGTGGGTATTGGTTGTTGGAGCTTAAGTACACCATCCTTAAGCTTGGCATTAAGTTTAGAATGATGCACTGCTCCGTATGATGCTTCATAACTCAATAGCAGTAGTTGTTGCTTCACACGGTGCTTCGTCACTTCCCAACCCGAGTCTTGACTATTGCTGGAGCTTTGTTGCAACGAGCAGAGGGTGGTCGATAGTAGTCGACGGTGGGTGATAGAGCTTTGTTGCAACGAGCAGAGGGTGGTCGATAGTGGTCGACGGTGGGTGATAGATGGTGGTTGATGGTGGTTGGTAGCTACAAGAGCAGGAGGTATTCATTGGATTCCTAGTACAGAAGCGATGATGGACTTCAAATCCTCTCCAAGCTTCAGTTTTATTCTGGTTAGAGTTCTCCCTCTTTTCCCAATGGATGTAGAACTCTATTTATAGAGCCTCGGAGCGACCTTTCTGCAATTAAAGAAGGATTTAAACCACTATGTCGAATGACTTTAGAGATTCTGTTGATTAGACGTCATCCAATGAAAATTTGAGTGTCTTAAAAATGTCAGAATTTAGCGATCTTCACGTCGCTCGATTCGCCTTGCTTAGACGCTCAATTTAACTATATACTTGTCGGATTTAGAATATGTTTGACCTTCCATTTATGCACTGAAAGCTTCATAATATGGTTTAACAGTATGAATTCGGTTTGATTTGGCTCGAATTGAACCAATTTTGATATCATTGGCCCATCTCATCAAGCCGGTCTTGACTATAAGTTTGTTGAAATCAGAGTTCATATTAATTTTCAATCGAAGTTTGAACATTTGTAGCTTAAAAAATTGCATTGAGATTTGTGTCATGCATCGAGATTCATGCCAAATAATAGAAATATGTTGATGATATATCATATATAATTCTTATATAATTATAGATTGAAGGCCACAAAAATTGATGATGAAAATAACCATTTTTTTTAATTGAAATGCATAACTTTAATAGAACGGTCATATTGATAGGGGCGGAAGCAACATTATTTTTTATGGTTGGCAGAATCATCAAATGTCAAATTGTTTTAAAAGTATTAGCCATCATGATTATAACTTGAATTAGCCCTGCATATACAACAAAAAGGGAGAAATAAATTGTAGGTGAATGAAATTGTATGAATGTTGTCACAATTACAAACATATGGAGGGAACGCTCTAGCGATTCATTTCTATGGACCCAATAGGTCCAACAAAAGAGTGTGTCAGCCAACCCTTGTCAATTTGGGTGGGTTCATGAACAGTTCATCTTGTTCAAAACTTGTACATTGCTCAACTTCTAACATTTTATAAGTCAATAGAATCACCTTTGAACAAGTGAAAATGTTATTACATCAGGAGTTCTGATGTAATCTCTTGTGCGGAGGATGATAGCATTTAGGTGTTATTGAAAATTCACATAAATTATAATTTATTTACTTTTTGAAATAATTTTCAGGCCAGTAATTAAAATCATTTTATTTTTCAGTGCAAGGGCTTTGTGATTGGTGGTTCGTACTCGATCGGAGGACAATTTTGTGATTCCAACAATTAAAAATAAAATTTGCATTTTTTTTCACTTTTATTATTATTTTTTTTAATCTTGTTGATAAATAATGTATAATAAAAACAAAATTGGATAGGACTTTGAAGGAATTGAATTTAATATTTCTAAGTCTATGGGTTCGCTTCGGACTGCAGCTATTCATAAAAATAACAATAGCCATATTGCGGAAAATATTTATTTTTTTAAATTTACTGAGCATTACACATTTTTTTAAAATAATTTTCTATCAACTTTTTAAGAACTATTATATTTTAATAATCTGTAAGAAATTGCTTCTCCTCCTAAAAAATTTTGAGATTGGAGAAGGAGAAGCATACCCAAACAAAATTGTAGCAGTTTTCTTGAAAACATTATTGGTTAAAAACAACCCTAAACCCTAAAATATAAATAATCATTTTAGCTTCAATTAGAATGGCCTTTTAACTACTTTTGTGGAGCAAAAAATAATCAACAAAAAAATAGTTTTTTCTTGACTAACAGTTTTTTTTTTTTTTTTTTTTTTTTGTTGGGGTTATAAAATCCT